CGTCACAGACGTGTAACGTCTGCTTGTCGCATATTTTTCCATACATTTCACTTCATACATATATGCGCGTACATCCCTACGTTTGACACGCAGAAGTCAATACGAATGAAGTTCGAATATTAAAATAACTCTCACACTAAAAAAATTTCATACATTACGCTGACGTACACGGTAACTTATTCACGTCACGGTCTTCACGAGTTATCCAACTTGTCCAAGCGGTTCGTTAATTTTTTGAAACTTTCTGGTTAAAAAGTTTTCGTCGTCTTGACTTTTTGACGAAGAGCAAATCGAATCTGCAACCATTTAATTATCATTCAACATTCTTTACTACGGTTTAATAACTATTAAAGGAGACGGTGGCCATACATATAGAAGACGTTGGTTTTAAAATTTTACTAGCTATAAACGAATAAATTCGACTGTCTTATAAATGTGCATAAAAATTTAAGGTCTTAAAACTAGACACGAAGTCACGTTCGTATCATAAAATGAGATTCTTGCCTCAAAGAGCATATAAACGCCAAGCGCATAATTTCATATTAAATGCGATCTTAGAACACCCTAATAATCACACAATTACGTTTCACCAGTACTGCATCCGCCTTAGCATCACTACTACTTTGCTACAATACCTCAAAGCCGTTTCTCAAATAGCTTCGAGTAATATATATCAAGAATAATAATCTGCCCTCCACCCTTTATAACTTACAAATCTGTTCTCTAAAAGAGTTCTTTGAAGTCAATATTATAATCGTCTGTTTCAGTATTTCATCGAATGACCAGGACTATTTTTTATACCTCTATCTTGCATTAGGAAACCGTTTCACGCGTTGCAATAAATCGTATAATAACTTCCGCCACATTTTTCCTCCTAACATGTTGCACCCATAACGAATGCTTTATGTGGACGTGCATGTAGCTACATACATATAAGAGTTACAACGGCTCGTGTGACACTAAAAATCCATTTTAGAAATCACCCATTTTTTGTTTCCACGTAATTTACGTGGGCATTAGGAGTTGTACGCGTAGCCTGAATTTTTTGAATTAAACAAAACAGAGAACATGCATTCGCTTTTCTAATTAAATTGCAAAGTTACTTTCTCTGTTATTAATAAAAAATAAATTAACAACAAGCAGTGATAGATTTAAAACAATTTCGATACACGTAAACATAAATCGTTTATTTTAGAAAAACGCGATTTCGGGGTGGATATTTGTTGCTGTTTATAAGATTCTGCTGCATTTCCAGTGCGCGGGTTTATTTTCGTTGTCTGGCAAGTGAATCTCAGAGGCAATACGTATTTAGAACGGTCTAGAGTTAGAAATTTGAAGAAAACCTCGCGAAATGTAAGATTTATCTATCTTTTTAGACGTAAGCACCTAAGAAATATATTTTCTGACCTCCTCTTCGAACTCCTCGCGTATCTACACGGTGTACGAATTAAATAAAGCAGAACCGTTGAAAGGGAACTTGTTCTGAGAAGCGGGAAGAAATTTTTCAAAGAACTATTGCGGAGCTCAACTATCTTCTTCGCGTGGGTTCAGAGACAATGCCCATGTGGCACCGCGTATCATTCATCACTTTTTCATCGCGGTGTGACGGCGTTACGATGTCCGGCGCTTAAAATGATTTTTAAGAAAAACTCTAAGGTATCAATCTTTAATGACGAACAGCGTCGCATCCATCGCCGAAACGCGAGACTCGCGATGATCGATCAATGACACTCCACGCGACAGTTAACACGTCGCTCCATCCGTATGATAAAGTTGCTGAACGAAGACATGACTTCGTTTCCGATAAGCGAAGCGACGCACGATTGCCGATATTCGTTGAGATGCTTGCGCGCATTCGGTATCCTGGATAGCAATCGACGAACGTAGTATACCGTCTCTAACAAGTCTTGAAACTTGCGAACGTACGTGCGAGAAAGTGAGATATTATCCGTAAATCAAATTAAGGGTCGTACCATAAGAGTTTCTTACATCAAATCTCAAATCTCCAGCAGCATTTATAAAGAAAATATAAAATCATTGTCTGCAGTTTATACACAGAAAATTTCTTCAAGCTTTATTAACTGCAAGAGATTGAGAAAAATTCTGAACATTTTCTTTCAGCTTTTAATAAATTTGGTACGTTAGCAATTATTACGAAAGTTGGGGGGGCATTTATTCTAAAACTTACGAACGGGGTGCATATTTCAAAGTGCGGGAACAAGAATTACGGTGGCGGAACGGATGACTGCGGATATTAGCAGCGATCATTTCCCCTCGAATCCGTCGGCCGTTTAACCCCATCGAACCTCGGTATACGTTTCAGTGGTACGCATCAATTCTCGTTTCACCTTCGCTTACCCGTTCGGCTCTATTTCACTCGGACATGGAAAGCACGCGATCTCTTTTTCGGTGCACTTATAGATATCCGAACGGGAAATTTTTCAACGAGGTGAATAAAAATAATGTATCTATTCCATTTTAATCAAGACGAGCCAATTTGTTCTGAACGAGGAAAAGTTTAATTTATCTTGAAAAGTTGGGGAAGGTCAGGTTCACCTAGATTAATCGTGTTAGAAGAATTCGTTTGAAAATAAGTTTCACGACGTAAAAGGGTCGACAGTGGGGAAGCCAGTTACTCTGCCGGCAAGTTTTACTCGTAATTTAGTAGAGGAATGTAACTAAGATAAATGACTTTGTCTTTGGTAATAATTATAATTATAATTATTGAAAACAGTAACAGAAACAAGGTTTACGGGGAGAAATTGTAATCGTTGCGAGAAGGTATTATAATAAAATTACTTTGCGCTTTAATTAAATTACGCTGTAGCGAAGGATACTTTCTCGATGATTGCAACAATTTTATAAAACACGATTAAGCGTCTACTCAAGAAACATGAAACAAGATAACTTTACTATCTAGATAGAATTTTGTACATTTAAAATAAGCATCAATTTTAACGAAAATTTTCATTTGCATATAAAACACGACCGTGAATCGATTCGGAACTCATTTTAAGACGAAATTCAACGACCCGACAGAAATTACGTAAATGTATTCCACTTGATTGACGTAGGCTCTTGAAGATCCTGCGATACAAAATTGCTTCTGAAAAACGTGATTAAATCCAGAAACTCCATAATTTACATACGCCCTGTTCCAATTATCACGACCGTTAAAAAAACGAGGGTAACTCAACACCTCCCGAATTTATGTCGCGATACATCAAGCTGCGTCATCTCTACTTGTTAACAAGTCTTAAAAATTCTCAGATCTTTGAGGTAGAAAATTCGACCCGAAATTATTTCACAAAATCCATTTCAACATCGGTCAGTCAAATGAAATACGTTATTAAATTTCTTGTAACTAAATATGCTGCCCATTTGTAAATCGTATAATTATAGGAGTGCGGGTGTAAACGTCGAAAATTCTACACCCACGTCACGCGCTGCCAATTTTCATTATAGAATCGACGCTACGCATATCCGGGCTTTCTCGAACGCGCGGATTTTCACCGAAGCTCGAACGAGTGAAATCGTTCGGCCGCCTCATATTTACTTCCGTAGAGGATTGAAAACCCAGAGAATACATAGTCCTGGTCCTATGGATAGCCATCGTGCTCGGAAGCCAATTAATCGTCGGATCGGGCCGTGTCGAACGAAAAACCCTCCGACGCTCGAATAGCATTTAATGACGGGCGAAATCTCGAAAACGAGGCATTATAAAACATTCCGACGAGCCGGACTTGGGCTACAGCCGAATTTACATTGTGTCTCGCCATCAGTGACGGAGTCATCCATTTATTACGATAAACGACGCACAGTTACGAACATCCTCTAAATATTAACGACGCACTGTATTCGTATGTATAGTATAGAGAATAGCACGGTCCGGTTAAAACGGGTTTTACATCATTAATTTACGAACCATTTGCAAACCATTTGGGGTACGACGAAAATTTCATTCGGCCCAATTACGCGGGAGCGTTTACCAAATGAGTTTATAGATCGTTCGCGATTAACCGATTTCCCGGTACGACGCCCGGGTGCCTATCTTTCCTTTCGCTATCAGAGGAGCTTCGTGGAAACGATTTCACCTTCGTAGGATGTTTGCAGGATTCTTTGAAAGTTCCCCGAGGGCATTCATTCTACTCGCACTGGCTACTTCCACGAATCGATGAATTTCGATGGTCAGAAGTTATGCGAATGCCCGGTAATTCAGTGTAGAATTCCGGAAACGCCGATGTAACGACATTAATGAATCCCCGAAGAATTCGTAGAACGCGGTACGTTAGAGACGGAAACATCCACGCTTTCCGTTTGAAGACGTGCTGGAATTTCTCGTCGATTTTCCGGCGGAGAGGAAAGAGTTCCCTCGGCCACGGAACGAAGTCTACGCGTCTCTTAAACGACCTCGAGAATACTCCGAGGATTTTGATAATGCGTACCTAGGAACGCGTTCGACTCCGCGGGAAATGGCTTGGACGATTTTTCGTCCGACGACTTCCCGTCGTGTTTCCATTTCACAGACCGTTCCGAGGGCGACTCGACGATGTCGCCTCATTTATCCAACGCCCGCATTCGTTATTCTTACAATGCTCACTCTCGGATCTCGTTTCATGACAAGTACCGGCGCGCAGAATTTGAAGAGGAGACACTCGACTCGCCTTTCATTAATACGAATGCAATTTATCAAGCTGGGGACAATCCGACAGAAAATGGGTAAAACGAGTTCGCGCGATACTTAATATGACACCGTCTGCTTATCGGATACGATTAATCTGTCAGATTTCTCAAAATGTAAATTTCTCTTCATCGTTATAATTGTTTCGTCTGTACCAGTGCCATAAATTCGGAACCAGAAATAATTTGATGATTCTCATAGAGTAACGATTTAAAAAAATAAATAGAAGAACAGTTTTTTTTTATCTTTTACTTTTCATTAAACGTTCGATATTCGTCAAATCTGGATTATTTCGCTGAAGACAATTAAAAAGACTCACCAAGTTCTGTTGTCGTAAACTCAGTTCGCTGACGATCTTTCGCGGTATGTTTCACATAGATTTCGAGGGTTGCGATCGGAACGCGACGCGCGCTTCGACGATACTGGCCGTCGACGCCTCGCGGAACCCGCGTCGCGACGCTCGGACGCAGAGCGCGTACTCGAGACGCCAACCTATCCGGGCACCGGTCCATGTTTCACCGCCGTGGTTTCGATGTCCACACTTACGGTTGCGAGCCTCGGAAACTTCTCAACTCCTACATTCTTCCACCTTAATTACTTCGCACCTTAGTGATACGGCTTATCAGTTATGAAACTTTACTCGTGTGCACCTCATATCTCTTCGTCTCCTTCGCCTCGAGAAGCGCGTTTCATGACATTTCAATTTTAGTAGAAATATAATTCAAAAAAAAAAAAAGGTAATCGACGGAGAAAATGGGTAAAACGAGTTCGCGCGATACTTAATATGACACCGTCTGCTTATCGGATACGATTAATCTGTCAGATTTCTCAAAATGTAAATTTCTCTTCATCGTTATAATTGTTTCGTCTGTACCAGTGCCATAAATTCGGAACCAGAAATAATTTGATGATTCTTATAGAGTAACGATTTAAAAAAATAAATAGAAGAACAGTTTTTTTTTATCTTTTACTTTTCATTAAACGTTCGATATTCGTCAAATCTGGATTATTTCGCTGAAGACAATTAAAAAGACTCACCAAGTTCTGTTGTCGTAAACTCAGTTCGCTGACGATCTTTCGCGGTATGTTTCACATAGATTTCGAGGGTTGCGATCGGAACGCGACGCGCGCTTCGACGATACTGGCCGTCGACGCCTCGCGGAACCCGCGTCGCGACGCTCGGACGCAGAGCGCGTACTCGAGACGCCAACCTATCCGGGCACCGGTCCATGTTTCACCGCCGTGGTTTCGATGTCCACACTTACGGTTGCGAGCCTCGGAAACTTCTCAACTCCTACATTCTTCCACCTTAATTACTTCGCACCTTAGTGATACGGCTTATCAGTTATGAAACTTTACTCGTGTGCACCTCATATCTCTTCGTCTCCTTCGCCTCGAGAAGCGCGTTTCATGACATTTCAATTTTAGTAGAAATATAATTCAAAAAAAAAAAAAGGTAATCGACGGAGTATTATTCATATTTACATCGGATTTTAACATACGACATTTATTCCGAGAGATAATCGTTGCGTAACTGGAATTGAATATGCAGGTATTTATGGAAACAGACGTGATATATTGATAAATTGAAAATTGTAATTATTCCTCGTTATTTGAAAAGCTTTTAAACCAATGAAATCCCGATTGAAACGACGCCGATTACAAAGTGATCTCATTTCAACGGGATTTGTGAATTAATTAAAAACTGTTCGCAGCTTGAACACATCGTTAACTCGCGCATATTTTCGCGGCACGCGTATTGTTGCCCCCGCGAACATCAGGTCGTGTCGGAGGCAGAAGTAAAACGACATCACCGCGCACTGACTTTTTTTTTTCTCCCCGGCAACAGACTTTTTGGTTTCGCAATAATTGCGAGAAAGATTTGTCCCGTGAAATAATTTGACCGCGACAGTCGTTTCACAGAGTTGGTTTGACTGCTTACGTCATTTCCATTCGTTGCGCCCGTCGAGTACCGATCCTGTGCAGGGGAAAGCTTTTTTCCCTTGCTTTCACGTCCCTTGCAAGTTCGAGTTAAAAGTCACACATCATTTTTGCCGATTGAACTTTTTGTTCTAAATGAAACTCAACATCTTTCTCTCCTACGCGCGCTATTCACGGGGGCGAAGTTTGTTATCACAACATTTTCTCGACGTCCGATATAAAAAATTTGAATTACTTCTACTTTTTCGGGTATTTATTTAAGCTTATTTAATTTCGAAGGTCTATATGAACTCGTCGAATTTTTAAAATAAAAGGAAAGGTACTAAACTAAATATTCAATTAGGTAATAGTAAAGGCACGGTGGATGGCAAATAGAACACGTGAAATGGTCGCAAAACGTGCTCGTGTTTCAAGAACATCGGATAAAATAGTGGTCTCGTAAAGATAATGGGTACGTATCAAACGTAAAGTCTAAAGAGATTTCGCGCTCTCTGTACCACGTACTAAAACGTGTATATGGTGTTTATTGATCTATTATCTAATAGAAGCAATAGAACCAGCACGTATCACACTACCATTGATTCTACAGTAGAAACACGTGTCATTATAGTTGCTACGACTATGACAGTCCGGTAGATAGCAATGCATTGTAAACGTCAATCAATAGGCTTGTAACAAAAGCTTAAAAGATTTCTCTTTTAAAATTGCAATGTCTTACAAAATAAATATGTACTCTTAAATATCAATTATCCTTTTTATCCAATATCGTACATTCAATATATTTTCTAATGAAGTTTTCAATAAAGACTGTCAAATGATCACGTTTATTATCGTCGTATTATTATCAAGCGTATCGAATGGAAACCAAATGTGGGGTCGATATGATTAATAGACGGAATTAATTTCGTGTGAATCAATTTATGGGTGCGTTAAGAGGTCGTCAATTAATATCATCACTCTTATACCGAGTCGGCATTCCTTTCTTTCTTATCCTACTGGCAAAGCGTGAATTATGAAACTTCACTCCCGTTTGGAGGGTAGCGTTCCATCTGCCCATATTATTAAATTAATTGGACATTAACAGATATTGAATCTCTAATCGAATTGATTTCACTCAACTGCCAAATATTTTATTAATATTCCACAGCACCTGATTGCACAAAACCTCGGAAAATATGTTTTCATACCGAACGTTTCTCGCCACTAACTATTGTTCATGTGAATCAGATCGCTGACTATGCATGTCCGTATCAACGGCCTTCTGTTTTAAAATAATTAACTTAATCTAAAGGACGTACGTGACAGGAAAACTCGTTGGGTGGTAACGGTGAATCAACATACGAATATCTCGTCTTCGAGCCGGATGCCTCGATTATAATGATAATCGAATTTGCAGGAGGAAGTTCCAATCAGGAATTACCGAGCTTCTGACCGGTCGATACCCGGTGTAATCAAAATATGTAATTTTCAATTACTTGAGCACACAAAATTTTCGGCTTGATTACAATCCCCGCCTTGTCCTTCGCCGACTAATGCAGATTTGCACAGTTATTGAAATATGAAAAATAGATGTACACCGCAGTGAACCTCTTGGAAAATGACCTATACCGTATTGATCCAGAGTCAATATAAAATTGATTATTCAGCAGCACTCTGCATAATCTTTAAGATCCGTCTTTTAAAAGCTGTTTTCTTTCGTACCTTTTAAGGTCGAGGGAAATTATGCAAAGTTCGTTCTTACGTGTCATTATCGTCTGTGCATACCTTTTTTCTTGATAAATAATATATGAATAATTTCAATATTTTAATATTGGCACGATGAAAACAAAATCGTATACATGCATGGAAATGAGGACAGTGACATTTGCAAGTACAAAATTGGGGGTGTTTTATAGTGGATGGTTTGAGTTCCTGGCCAATGTACAAGGAACTGGCGTCAGTCCAAAATGACCATCCGCGATAGTGGTGAGAGCGGTTTGTCGATTCCACCGCGATATCGTGTTTCCTTCCTGAAAGGTATTCGCGCGAGGCGATTCCTGAACTCGTGCAACTCCGTTTACTTACTACTCGCGTCTTCCTTAATTTATGTAAACCCGAGTTTCCTGCAAAACTACGCCAACAGCTTGTAGCGTGCAGCAACCCTTTCCCGGTGCACGCGATTAATCCTTCGTCATTAATTCAAAAATCACTCAATATTCGAGATACGTTTCGCGCTCCCGGACGTTCTTCCAAGACTCTGAAATTAATTCTCTCGGGCGGATACTTCTTGATTGCATTATTTTTATCTCGATGGATTTTTTCTTATTTGCATAATATGAAATATATTTCGATATTTATTTTCCTCTGCTGTATGAGATTAAATATTGAACTATTTTTGGCAATGATATTATTTATAAATAATTGTAATTCTTTCTCATGAACTAATTTCGTTCAGCGAGGGGTTGCACGAGTAAAAATGTCGGCGATATTCAAAAGATCGTGTTGGTATTTGCCCTCATAACTAGTTCCACGGGTTCGATAAAATTGTCTTCATACCGAAGCATATATTAATACCCTTCGCCCACGAACGTGCTGCAGCAACTGAATTCTTCGGTTTTTCCAAATTTCTGCGACTCGCAGTTCTCGGAAGAAAATCATATTATACGTACATTGATACGTTTCGAACGTTGTATAAATTAAACAAGTACGCGAGTGGTTTAGGTATTTATGGATAAATGAAACTACCTATTATGGTGTTTAAATTATTTATTTTTGTATTGAAAATGTGAAAGTACATGGCATCGAATCGTAGATTATTGTTTATCATAAATTATTAATAATCATTAGTGTACATTTTTATTTCTCATTCGTTTGTCACCGGAATGAACATAGTAAAAATATCCAAAATATACATATAACAGATAAATATGCTTATATAGTCTATGGGAAGTACCAACAAAAAAATTTTATGTACAAATGTGCTAACAACCTATTATGAAATACAGTTGTACATTATCAGTTACCTGGTTGAAATGTATGTAAAAATATTGTTAAGAAAAATATTACCTCGATTAGAATAAACTTTTGTACTGTAAAAACGGACTGTCTGAATAGTTCAATATGCCGTTAGAAAACATGTATTAAATATTTACATTTGGTAAATTTTTGTGGGGAGAACAACGCTATCTCTACCGTATTTGGCTGAACGAATATGGAGCGTTTTTGAGCAGTAAAGACGCGTTTCATTCATGTTTTACAATAAAAGTTATGATCCGAAAATTTACAATAATTAGTGCATGCAATTCAGTTGCTTGGCTCGTTACTGATTGCGGCCTGAGTGTTAGGTGTGAAGTACATAGAGTCCAAATAACATTTGGCAAAATCGCTGACGATGCTTCTATCCGGTATGCTTTGACTCATTCCATAAATTGCGAACTGAAAGAAGAGTAATTTAATATTGCATTGTATTACATTTATATTAATCATATTCACCCTTCCTTCGACGGGAATTTCTGGATTCTTTAGGATCGTGCTTAATTCAGTTTGAACGTCGCTTAAAAATTGGTCCGCGACACCATGCTGCGTATGAACATACGTAACGCAGAGATGTACACCGCAAGGGAATTGAAGTGGATTCAAATTCCATCCTTTTTCATTTAAAGCTTCCGATAATTTATAAATATCAAAATCGTTTGATCCCAGTGCAATAACTGAGGTGGCCGGAGTACCAAAAATAAAAATTCCATCCAATTTCCTCAACCTGCAATTAATTTTATATATTTAATTACGAGTAAAGAGACAGAACCGCTGATGAAGACAAAAATAAGAACCTTTGTTCAATATATTTAGTAGTTTCAATAATTTTCTTTGTCGATTCGAGATATTCATTGTAACCGAAGTACATTAACGTTGCCCAACACGAAGCTATAATACCACCAGCTCTCGAGCCACTGACAGTCGGCGAACCATAAATACCACCGGGCCAATCAGTTGTTATAGTATACTGATGGTGCCTCAGCTTTTTGTTTCTATAAAGAATGATCGATGAACCCTTCGGAGCATACCCGTACTAAAAAATAAACGAAACAAAGTTGGTAGAAGTGGAATTAATTTTATACGTGCATACAGAAAGTATTTATATGTACTTTATGTGTGTCCGCTGATATGCTAGTAACACCGGGAAGTCTAAAGTCAAAAGGTGGTACATCGAAACCAGCGTCGGGCATGAAACAAAGTAAGAATCCACCGAGACAAGCGTCAACGTGAACTGGGATATTGTACTTCACTCCCAGCTTAGATATTGCTTCAATATTATCCATTGTCCCATATGGGAAATTTGGCGTTGATCCTGCTAACTGTTATAAATATCACTTAAATTCAAACATGAGAGCTCGATTTAAATATCAACTGAAGGGACTCTTGCTCACCATTATTGTATTTCTCGTAATAGCTCTTTCCATAGACTTGATACAAACAGTATAGCTACTTTGGTTTACAGGTACGATACGCACTTTAATTTTTAAGTACTGGGCAGCTTTATCAAAAGCAGAGTGTACAGTCACAGGTACCACTATCTCTGGCTTCTTGATACCCTTCACTTGCCTTGCATAATCCCTATACGCTTTACATGCTAACAAAATTGACTCCGTACCACCACTGGTCATCTGTAATGAATTGCATTTTAAGTTATCAATCGCTTGACATTTATTTCTAAAAATAACTCACCGTTCCACAAGAATCTTCACCGCCGTGAAATAAATTACAAGCTATTTTAACTACTTCTGCTTCCATTTTGCATACACCTGGAAAAACGTCAGGGTGCAATGGATTTGTATAAGATGCAATGCTATAAATATCACCCATCAGTTGTAAGAGATCAGTATCAATTCTGTAGATGGCACCAGACACTCTGCCACTTTTCCAATCGTAACTACCTAATAATATTAGACGATCATTTATGTGTGTTGCATAACTCAACGCAATTTCTATTCTTTTTAATAATTGCATTACCTAACTGAATAGATTGCTTTACTTTTTCTATGATCTCCTTTGGTTTTATGCCCTCCTCTGGGAGTTTTACAATAAAAAGAACATCTTTCATCCTCTGCAACACTTCTTCTTTAAATGTCTCATTAATATTATCCAGTTCCTGATCGATCTTGTTCCTGATAGCAGGTATACAATTCATTAAACTAAACATCTGCTTCTTAGCCCTTTCAGCAAGACCTGAAAGAAGTATGAAAATTACAATGGGATGAAATTATTAGAAACGTTTGATACGAAAATTGAATATCAAAATTAATCGTACTTTCTTCTTGGAAGACAAAATTCCATAGCCATACTGAGCTAAGAATGGTTGTACTTGTTATGGTCACTATTTTCCATGGTTCGTCCCCTTGGAAATAATTGTTAACCAGCTCTTTTAACACATAAATAGGATACATGTTTATCTAAAACAGAAACTACATTATTAATATCATATCAATAGGTATTACTACCATGTAACGTATAAATTCTACTGATAACTATGCTTATGGAATGACAAGATTAGTGTTATCTCACAGGTGCTTAACTCGAGGATTCAAAACAAGTACGCCTTTTCTTTCTTTATGTATATACATTTTTTCTCATACCTGTCCTCAACGTACTTTATCTCACCGCTCTCTCTTTGTTCTCTTAATCTTAGTTAGCATTGTTCCTTATTCCCCTAACTAGTTATTAGTGATTCTATTTTTAATAATCTCGCTTTTTCGAATACGATCAATTTAAATATTAAATATTGACTCATATAGGCAAATCTATGTACATATCTCAAGCAAAGTTTTTGAATACATACCACAAATAATTAGCGTAGCACAGTGATATTAAAAACAGATACAATCACCAAGGAACATATTCACATCAGAGCTG